CGTCAATGTGGATTTCATTTTGTGAGACAAGATTTGGCTCTCTCCGTTCAAGTAGAGTGCGAAGGATGGCTGCTCGGCGGACTGAGTATAGCCGATCGGTTCCATTTCCACGCTGAGCTTTATCGGGACCTAGTAGGTTTCCAAAGCCGTGTAGACAGGCAAGGAACTCTTGTGCTTGGTTTGTGGCGACTCTATCCAACCCTGTCTTGGGCCCGGTATTCGAACCTGCATTCGACCCCCCTCCTGCTCGCCTCCGGAACTCGTCGTAAGTCCTGGTAGACGTGGCACCAAAGAAGAATACGGCAGCGCCAACAGGCCTGCTGACTCCGTTGTCAGAAAAGAATCCATTGAACATAACAGGGAGTAGATGAGGTAGCCAGCCAAGGGGAGAACCAGCGAAGCTATGGTCAAATCCGCTGATGTAAACCAATGGCATGAAGCCGCTGAGGGACAAATCACGGACGGAGTGGAATGCGGTCAGTAAATCGCTGGCACTGTTGAACTGGGAGAGGTCAATCTGAAGAGTGCGCACTTTGTGCCCTTTGGATGCCGCCTCAGCAACCTGTAAAGCAGCAAAGGCCTTGCCTGATCCCCTCGGTCCAAACAAGGCGATACAGAGAGGTCTAGGCATTGGGGACCGCAAGTACTCTCTCAGAAAGTTGGATATCGTCCGGAAGGATTCGATCTCATGACGGTCAAACAAGAAGAGCTGATTGAATTGAGCCAGCGGAACCTGGCTTCCTGGAGAGAAAGGACCTTCCCTGAGGATCTTGCGAGCGACTTCGGCAGGATCACCGATGGTGTCGTCAAGGAGAGACCAATCTTCACTGGTACCACTAACAATGTCGGTTGATGGAATCGTGCAGCTGGCCAATTCATTCTTCTCCTTCTCTTCAATAGCCCGCATGACAAGTTGAGCCCTGTACACTGTTGCCAATGAAGGGGCATCCTTGTTTGGCTCGACCAACCCAGCTGCGGCAAGTCGTCTTGCAGCGTGTAGCCCAAACTCGATCCCATCTGCTATACTCCGATCTCGCGACTGAACCAAGCCTTTGGTGAAACCAGCGACAAATGCGTCTGCGATACCAGGAATGTGTTCTAGGTTCTTTCGAAGGAACTCGCCTTCCACGGAGAGAGGATCAAAGAAGAGTTGCGGGCTTGACACTGCCGCACCTCGGTGGTATATGGCACCGGCGCAGCCTAACAGGACGACAAGATGTGCGCAAGTGGCCAAGGAGACAAGTTTCCCTACCGATCCGAGCCGCTCAACAAAGTCTTCGCATGTCTTTTCCCAGGACAATCCGTAGGACAGCTCTATGCCCTCGGCTCGTAAGTCCTCGGCCTCTACCACAACGATGAGACGTTCTGGATCTGGGCCGTCTGGATCACTGAAAGGGCCGCGCTTTACATGCTCCCAAACACGGCCCCTGCAAAGATAGCGAGCCATATGGTAAATAACAAAAATGGGTCGACATTGTTGGAAAAGAGAAATTGCACGCTCAGCACTTTCGTTAGGGATTGACTTCTCGGTTTTTGTCTCTTGGAGAAGGAGGAACGACTGGTTGGACGGGTCAAATGCCGAGAGGGACGGGGATGGGAAATGCCATTGTCTTTCCATGTCAACCTGCTGGATACGTCGTAGTTTGAAGGATCGAGCATCGTTTAGCGGTCTAGGAAGAGCATCCAACTCCATGATGGAATGAATAGTGTCCTGCTTCAGGCTTCCTGGATCAGGCTTGTGGATGTGGACGCGAGGTTGGACATTTTTGAATCCTTCATCGAGATATTCGGCCAAAAGCTCGGAGCCGACACGAAACCAATGCGCCTGTGGCCTTTGAATATAGGAATCCGAGTTTGATGTGGCGTCGGACGGGTAGAGGAACAGTCGCTGAGGGGCGTCCCCAGCGATGATGATGTGCCTTCCTGAGTCCTGACTCTGCGCCATCTTGGCTGGAGCCTCAGGGTTGCCCTGGAAGCTTGGTCAGAAGAAAGAGAGAATAGAATCGAATCCAAGAGCTCCAGCCTGGGGGGATGACCTGTCAAGCCTGCATCGCTTCTCACCACGTGACCGTCACTCCCGAGTGTGTCGGTGGTAAATGTGTCTCTTCATTGGATTGGCTCAATGGCTGGCTCAATGGAAGGATGCCACGAGGCAGAAGCGCCGGAAAATCATCTTCAGGCCGAATGGTGGGTTGCTCTGGTCTCGAAATGAAACGGGAATGCATCTTGCAGAGGCCAAGATTCGCCGCTGAGTATAATGGTATTCGACACGTCAGCACGAAGTATTCCTCGTGTTAGTTGAAAAAAAAAAAAAAAAAAAAAAGGAACAAGGGAATCGAAATGAGAGCGTTCAAGATTCAAAGAAAAAGAATCGATGTCTAAATAGCAAAAACAATAACTGTTTTAGGCTGCGTGAACCGCGACTCGAACGCGGGCCTCGAGCATGGGAAGCTCGAATTCTACCCTTAAACTATTCACGCGAACATGGGTGATATCACGGGTAGATTTTACGAGTATAATATATATAACTACTTTTTTGGTGGGTCTAGCTGGGGCTGCACGGGGCGATAATTGGTGCGTGACCTGCCTAATTCTTCGTTCAGTTCGGCTTTGCCTACTCTTTGATACTGCCGCATCTTCACAATTCAATCAGCTCACAGATACAAAGTCTGCTGTCTGCTACTTTGGCCACGGTCATACCGGCTACGCGAGAGTTATTACAACAAAACCTGACAAAGACATGCTTTTCCTGTTTTCCTATGTCTATCTCGTTTGAACCTTGGTTCAAGTTCTCATAAAGCGTCCCCCAACTGAAACCACCCTTTGCAATCAACACTTGCGCCAGGTTAAAGAACACAAATACCTCTGCCCTATTCGAGCGTCTTCTCCGTCAAGAAGATCCCATACTTCTCCTTCAACTCCGTCAGAATGGGACCCGCCAACTCCCACTTCAGCGGCGCGAGGATGCCCCTTTCCTTGATTCTTCCATCCAACACCATCAAACAGGCCAGTCCGCACGGGACACCAACCAATTTCGCCATAGAGCTGTATCCGTTCGGGTCACCATAATCACAAAGAGTGCTCGTCCTGGTCTCTCGGGATCCGTCTTTGTGCTCGATCTCGAATTTATGCTGCAGCATGACCATGTCTCTCTCGCCTTTTTCGTACTGCATCTTCTCTTCGAGTGTGGCACAGAGTGTATCAAGTGGGTTGCCTCGCGGTGTGATGGGTGTCTCTGAAAACAGGCCAAGCCATTTGATTCCTGAGATGATACGTTGTTTCTCGGGTGTATCCTTGAAAGTCGTCTTAGAGCTGATTGCCCACGAAAGATCCGACTCCTTGCTGCTGGTCGCGCCAATGATTTTCTGCGTCGCCTCCGCCCAGGTTATTGGCTTCTTTTCAGCAGACGGCTTAAGGAAAGGCTGCTCTTCTTCCGACAGAAAGCCGATATCGACCAGCACCTTGACGAATTCCGGGAAGCCTTGGTACCGCAGCGTACCACGGATCACAGTCTGGGCTTCTGGGATGCTGTATTTTTCTCGGTAGGGGGTCGAGTCTCTGTTGGGATATGCCACGAACGCGAAGCCCGGGTAGATGAAGTAAGGTTTTGCACTGCTCATGAGCTCCGGTCCAGCGATTTCTTTGACGGCGCCATCTTCGTAGAACTTGGCCGAGTTACGGAGGGCTAGCAGGACCCCTCGACTTGACCAGGAGAATTTGTAACCTAGAGGGTTGTCGCTGGCCTCTGGAGCCGGCAGTCCACCGCAGTATGAGAGGAAAGACTTGATCTTGCCACCGGCCTTGTGAACCTCTTCAATGGTCTTCACGGCATAGAGATGGTCGATGCCCGGATCCAGACCAATCTCGTTCATGACCGTAATGCCCGCTTCCTTGACCTGATCCTCCAACTCCAACATGGCGGGAGAAACGTAGCTGGTGGTGACGACATTCTTCTTCTTCCGGATGGCGGATTTGATGATGGTCGCGTGGAAGGTGTAAGGGATGAGACTGATGGCAAGGTCGGTTTTGGCCATCTCGGCATCGAGAGCCTCTTCATTGGTGACATCGAGAGAGATTGGCCGCGTGTTCTTGATACCTTCGCATAATTTCTTTGCACTTTCGAGCGTGCGGCATGCTACAACGATATTAGTCAAGACGCCTCTGATTTGTTCTAGAGACTCAAAAGTCACTGACCGACGGTAACCTCAACACCAGCATTTGCGAGGATCTCGACGGTGGGCTTTGTGACGAATCCCGCGCCGAGAAGAAGGGCTTTTTGAGAAGAATAGCCCAATTTGGACTGGATGGTGGTGATGAGCGATGCCATACTGAAATAGCAAAAGGTGTCGACTTCTCGCCTGATTGTGTGTGTGAAAAGTGGTCTTGCTGAAGGAGGAAATGAGTCAATTGACAGTCCCCAGAGATTTCTTTCAATTCGACCCAGAAAATTGCATCAACCCGCGCCCGCCGATTGCGGAGTTGAGCGAGAACCCCCCCCAGAAGCCCCTCCATTATCGCCACGTGAAGATAGACTAAGTACATGTTACACCTCGGGTACCTTGTGCCTGTACCGTATCAGATCGCCCTATCTCCCATTCTGCTTGGAGATCTAGCAACAACTGGTGAGATTCTCCGTCGCTTGGGCCAAGAGCAAGGGATTGAGGCAGCATCCCTGACATCTAACATCATATCACAGACTACTGCCTGACAAACCTACCTGTGCTTCGCATAGGTATAGACATAGTAGGCAAAAGGTTCGTCTACACATACGACTGACGAACGCGGGTTGCAAAGGATGTTGTCCCACGATCAATGAATGGTAAAACTCCGACTTCATTGCTGCCCACATGGCCTCGCTTCTCCGCGCCCTACTCTCATGTCTCCACACTATTTCCCAAGGTTCGAAATGATATTGACCCAGCATCTCCCCCCTCCCCTGCTCAATTCCTCTCTCGCTCGATCCTTGTCGAACACCACCAGTCTGTTCCCCCTTTCAAGAGATGGCTGTCCCTCTGCTCGTGAGGCTGCAGTCCTACTTTGATCCCCTTGTCCTTCTCAGCATCTCTATTGCCTACCTTCCCCTAACACTACTCTCTCACCCACTGCTGTTCGTGACATCTCCTTCGTCCTTTCGCTCAAAATGGTTCGAGAACTTCTGGCGCGTCATTGGCCCGAAGATGGCTGCCACGGAAACCCAGATCAACCACATTGAAGAAGTGCTCTCCCGCGCGAGCGGAAAGGTCCTCGAGCTGGGTCCTGGAGGAGGCGACCAAATGTTCCACTACAAGCCTGGGCAGATCGAGGTGCTGTACTGCGCCGAACCGAACGTCTTCTTGCATGGGAAACTCCGTGAAGCCGCCGAGAAGCATGGACTCGGGAAAAAGCTGGTCGCCCTCGAAGCGGGAGCCCAACCGGGCAGTCTCCTGCCCGCGCTCAAGAAGGCCGGGGTCATCCCCAGCACGGCCTCGACTCTCCCTGAGAACGGCGTATTCGACACCATCGTCGCCATCAAGAGTCTCTGCTCGGCGCCCCAGAAACAGCTGGCAGCTACGGTCGCGGTCGTCCAGGCCCTGCTCAAACCCGGCGGCGAGTTCCTGTTCTTCGAGCACGTCGAGAACAACGCCGACTACATCACCAAGTCCTACGCGTGGCTGATTGACTGGATCTGGCCCGTGTTTATGGGTGGGTGTCGCGTGGATGGGAAGATTGACAGAGTTGTGCTGGGAATGGGCGGCTGGGATGAACGGAGGGTCGTCACCACAGGTGAATTCCAGGGTTACGAGGTACGAAAATGCTTTCTTGAGACCATCAAGCCCTTGCCTCTTGTCCCTGGGTTTCGACAATCGAGCCCGATTTCACGTTATCAATACTAACATTCGAACGCCCTATAGGTCTTCAGATACGTCAAGGGAATCTGTCGCAAAGCTTGACGAGGTTGGCCGCCAATCCTTTTGCCAGCAGAACTTCACGCGGAAGTCACCCGCGAAGCGTGTCAGACACGGGTTTCAGTACAATATGGAGGTAAGGTTAGTGCAGGTTGAGCTCAGGTAGGGGGATCCATAGACCCCCCAGAGCTGTGGCCGCGATGTCTTGGAAGCAGAAAGCTGGCATCTATGAAGAGCTCAGTCCGTGTTAATGCGGTTCCTGTACGACGCTTGTGCGGCTGAAAAAATGTCATTAGTTACAACATCAAGATCTAGTCTCGTCCGTTGCACATGTTGGATTTTGTCCTTTTGTCCTTGAGGTCAAGGGATCATGAATGCTCAAACTCCATGGCCATGCGATGTATAAAACTCCATTCAGTTGGCGCAAAGGCAACCCTAGGCCAACACCGTCTCCTTCAATGGCAGCTCGGTTTCGTATTCAATCTCCACCCGGCCGCGAGACTTCTTCTGTGGCTTTGGCGGTTGCTTTGTGTGGCGCTTCCTCTTCTTGCCAGACGCATCGTCTCCGGCCTCGTCCTCGTCGCTGTCTTCGCTCTCGTCTTCGTCCTCTTCGGACTCTTCAGTGAACTCTCCGTCTTCTTCGTCAGGGCTCTCTCCTCCGAGCCAGTCGTCAAAGTCCTCCATCTCCCGCTCCAATTCGTCCTCGCTCTCGTCCAAATCGGAAACGTACTCCACCTCTGCCTCGATTTCTTCGTTCTCATCCTCTTCCAACTCTTCATCCAGCAGCTCTTCACCTTTTTCCTTCCTCTCCAGACCTCTCAGTACCTTTCTCCACAGGCCTTCTTCGATATTAAGCGGCCGGTCACCGTACGCGCCGCTCGTCAGCCGCTCCATAAGTTCCCGTTCGATCTCCCTCTCCACCTTCGCCGCACTCTCTGCTTTCCGTTCCCGGGTCTCCTCCCTCCTCCGGACCTTTGGCGCCAGTCTACTGACGTTCTTTTCGCCCAGTCTCACATCTTCCTTCTCGATTTTTCTTTCGCGGATCTTTACTTGCGTTAATCTCGTGAGCCTCTGTTTGCATTTGTGGATGTAGAATTTGGGCCAGTATTGCAATTTCTCGTCGAGGGCCAAGAGCGCCTTTTCGTAGTTGTTGGGCAGACGGATCTTTTCCCACCACTTCGAAGGCAGGTGGTTGCGTTCGGGGGTCTTGATGAAGAGGCAGAGGGCACCGCTCTGAGGGTCCGGTCGGACGGTGGCATAGCGGGAATTGGCGAGTGGGCAGGACTGCCGGTTGCAGAACCCGGTCAGGTTGTACTCATTGCGACAAAACGTCTGATCTTTGCTGCTCAGTCTGTTTTTTTTCTTCCGGTTAGCAACAATCCCAAAGCGCTTTCAATTCGTTCATATCTGCGAGAGAAAAAAGAGCCAGGCTTACTTCAACTTGAACGAGCAGAATTGCTGGTTGATCACCTGCCATACAATCTCGTCTGACGACATTTGTTGCGAAGTTGCGAGAGGAGGACAGGAAGAGCAGCAGAGACCGAAAAAGTGAGGCGGCGGTGGCTGTTCTGGCAAGTGCCCAAAAGATTGAAGAGCCCAAAAATTTCGAGTTGGACAGAAGGCAAACCTGCCAAGAATGTTTCTTATCGCTTATCAGAGTTTGGCATGTTTGATAGATTTGTTTCTAATTCCTCCCACTCAATAGGTAGACGTTCGTCCCCTTTGGGTCATGCTTTGTTAGAATTGAGCTTCGCTGGAGTGGAAATGCTTTCATATTCGCCCCCGTCTTCGTTGATGTCTGTGCTTATCAGAACTATCGGCGTCTATTCGTGATAACATTCCTGCTAATGAAGTATTATGAACACAAGGAACGTGGGGAAACCAGAGGGACAGACATATCCTGTGTCGGATACTTTGTCCTTCTATAGGACTTAGAATGCAGTCCTGTAAATGTTCTAAGGCCTACAAGTCGGTTCATATTTGGCAAATAAGCCCGTGTAGGCCAAGTGTCTGCACGAGCAGCATGAATATTGCTTATAGAGTTAGCCGAAACGCTCACCTCAGGAACGATCAAGCAGCTTCACGATGCATGTAAAGGATCCGTGAATCATTGTAGGCAAGCAAAGGGTAAGAGGAATCCCATGGTGGCCATCAGTACTCAGAGTCTCCCCATGCATTGGAGAGCTCTCACAGAATCCTGATTGTTTACCACTCATCACTCTTTGCTTCTTGTCAGGAACATGATCGGGACGGTGGTCATACCCTTGAACGTTAGAGCAGTGTCGAAAGGCTCAATATCGTTCAATGGCTATTTGGGTGGTTGTGTCAGCAACATCTGCAGCAGCGGCCAGAACAATGTGGAAGTTCCAGCTAGTCGTCAGCAGGAAGTATGCTGTGTTAATCTTCGACTTCTGTGTCCCGTTCTTCGAACCTCAGAAATGTGCTGGCCGTAGCAGCCTCTGGCCCCAGGATTTTCTGCCAAGCGTCATTGACTGCATGAAGTATACCATCATCAAAGGCAAGCTCTTGCGGCCTGGGTGGAAACACGATGACCCCTGGTTGCTCCCCGGACAGAGGGGTATCCAAAGTTGAATCTATAGCTGGTCCCAGAGCTCGATACGAGAGCGACCACAACAGCGAATCTTTTGCGCCGACAGTGTCAAGGAATGCTTTCACAGCAGTTTCAAGCCGACTTCTGGAGGTCGAATCTTCAGAAACAACTGACGCATAGATGACACCTGGTCAAGAGCAAGTTAGCAATTTCTCTATTGCGCTAAGAGTTCGAAGCAGAAAGTGTTGAGTGGGTTTCCAGATCAGGTTGTCAGAGGGTAGTTATCAGCAAAGCACATGATGCTCAGGCAATGTAGATAAGTATTCGATGTTGGATCATCACGGAAGCAGATAAGACAGCGAGAAGTATAAGAACTTACATTGGCCAGCAGGACATTCTCCTGTGTCCTCTGAGTGAACCTGCAGATAAACAGGATCCTTGTCATGCTCGGGAGCACCATCATCGGCCAGAACAACCGTCACTGCGGGGACAGGGCCATTCTCTGATGTTGGTGGAAACATTGATTTTAACGGGTGCCCAACGATGTTGATAGACCTCCAGGTAGTGCAGAACGAGGCCACTTCTTCCACAGCGTCTTTCGAAGTGGGAACATCATCGCTGGCCCCAGCGACATACCGAGTCCGGATCCGGGTGCCGTCGGAAAGTGTGCATTCAATGGTAGGTGTATCTCCGCCATCTGCACTGTCGAGATCAGATATGTTACCCGGACCACTCAGAGCTTGTAGGGCATGTCCCAGGAGATACACGCCTCCGCCCACAGCGTTGGCACGACAGGCAACTTGTGAGATTTCTGCGGTACCGCCATACTTTGCAACGACCCCGCCAAAACCTTGACCGAAATGTCCCATAGACCTCAGATGTCTCCTGATCCTGGCGAGGGCCTTGTCGAAAGGAATTGAGTCCGCGGCAACAGGAGACAGCGCGAGTGCCACCAACGGAGTCTGCAGGGAATCGGGAATTCTGAACTTTTGTCGACAAAGCAGTCCCTAAG